TGGCACATTGTTCTTCCTGGCCACCTTTTGATGCCAGCGTCAGGTCACACTCTCCGGCTGACATCAAAGGTTCCTTCATTACTGAGGCAGGAAATGAACAGGGATTATCAGGGATCCCTCATCTCTGCCCTTTGTCCGGCGGGGTGCCGAGCTCATTTCCGTTTTAATCGGCGGCCAGCTTGCCGGTCCTCATGTCTCTGCTTTCCCCTGTGAGGCAGGCGGGCTGTTTGGAGCCCCCCACCGGGCATGAGTGGGCGGCCCTGTCCGAATGCAAAGCATTCTGGGTTCTGGTACAACAGTCGGCCCAAATGGGCTTCAGCCCAGCTTCTCCGTGAAGGTGCATTCATTCCTGTGACCCAGTGGTTTATAATGGGGGGGGGGGGCTGGTGTACTGGGTTTGTTCCGGCCTGGTCCCCATTTCCCGACTAAGGTTGGACACTGTTCTCATTGTGCCCTGTCATCTCGGAGTATTCCGGGTGCTGGTGTTAGATCAGAGCTTCCTGAATAGAAGAGAAGAAAGCAGAGTGGCCACCAAATGCTACCTGTCCTGTTTAAGCACAGGTGTCACTGGGGGTCAGACGGGACCTCAAGCTAACAGGTAATGCAAACACTCCTGATTTACCCCTGGCCTCATACTGAGGGCTCTCCCCAGTGGTCCAGGTTACTGAGAGAGCTTGTAGGGAGGGAGAAGATTTGCCACAGAGCCGCCAGAAGGTCATTCCCTATAATAACTGGGGACTATTTTAAGTTACAAGGCATATACACGGGATTTGGGGCTGAAAGCTGGATGTAGCTGCACGGTAAGGGTGCTAGCGTGTTAGCATCCTGGCGTTCAGCACCAAGGCCAGCTCCAGGGCAGGCCAGCTCCAGGGCAGGCCAGCTCCTGGCCAGGGGAACTGAGGTGCCTGAGAGCGACTTTCAGAACCCTGGAGAGCGACTTTCAGAACCCTGGAGAGCTCCCAATCCAATCCCAGACCCCTGTATCAGTGCAGCGGAGTTCAGAACCTCCAGATCCGGTACCGTCTTGTAAATACAGCCCCTGCTGTCAGGCAATGCGTACCCCCCACTCGCACCCTCTCTGTTTCCCTCTGTGTGGCACCGGTGACCTATTTTGTTTTTTTTTTTTTGTGATGAGGATACCTGAGTGGAGGTGTCATCCACATACGCTACCCCCACGTCACTCCCCCCGGTCCCAAGGGGCCAGTGCTATTTTCCAGCGGGTCGTTGCAGCAACCGTCTCCTTGGGGGATTTGCTTTTGTTCTCGTCCGTTCGCCTTGG